CGTGAGCACGTCCACGGTGTACAAGTTTCTTGGTTCGCGACCGGACTCGACGGTAGGATCATCAATGATGTCTAAAACATGATCCATTTGACGACGCTTGTAGTCGCTCTTGAACGCAGCGATGATACCGGCATCCATTGGCTCTCAAATGTCTTTGTGTGTGTAGTTGTCAATATGAGGTGTTGGCTCCTCAATTTTGAATTTTCAAACGATGCATCCAGGTCATAAGGCCCTTAGTAAATTAATATCGAATAAAATTTAACGGAGTATAAATTTATACCAGGGAGCAAACGTTGAGGGATCACTGTACTACACCCTGACATGAGTATTGCAACTTCGGATTTCTAAGCTTCTACAGCAAGCGCATTCATATGTTTACAGCATACGAATTCAAGGGAAATAATTAGGTACCGCAACTGCAAGAAGTTTTGAAGTAGCATCCGGTGAACTTGGTGTTTCATGTACCTATCATCAAAATCTCGACAAATCTCAAGGGATGTCTATGGTCTTGGGTAGAAGGCTACCGATAGGAGTATTGAGTTCCCGCCAATGACCATAGGCAACTTCAATTCACGTACATACAGTATTGGGGGGTCTCATTACCAACCCACATTGTATGAAACACTACGGTACGTTTATGCTTTCCTCAATGGAAGAGGTCGACGCGATTACGCAAGCAATCCAATCTATTAACAATTAGATCGTTCGTTCTGTAATAAAACTAGTTGCCGCACCAGAACGCTCCCAAGTTCGCGAACGTGGCACAGGTTGACTTGGTGTACGCAGATGGGAAGCAGTAGTTCAGCGCAGGGTAGAAGCATGTAGAGCAGCCACTGCACTTGGACGGTGACGCAGCTGTGGGGGCGACATTGGGGCCCTTGGAAGTCGTGATGGGGGCCACGTGAGGCACTTTGGACGGGATGACTGGGGCGAAACTCGGCTTGGTGGTGATACGGCCAGCGGCGTGGGGAGTGGTGATGAAGGGTTCGATGAAGTCGCGGGCGATCGAGATGCGACTGTACACGCCAGGCTTGTTCTGCTGGGCACATCCGGCGCCCCAGCTGACAACTCCCACCAACTTGGCATACCCGTTCGATTCCACCGTCAACGGTCCGCCAGAGTCGCCTTGGCACGAATCTTCGCCCAACTTGCCGCCCGCACACAGCATGGCATCGTTCAAGGTGTATCCGGGCAACATCTTTGCGCACTTGGCATTGCTGATGGAATTCACACCGACTTCCAGCAGCAATTCGGAAGAAGCACCGCCCGAAGACGTACGACCCCACCCGCGCACCATCGCAGGGGTACCAGGTGCCACCGTGTCAAACGAGACCTGGACCGGAGGGAATTTGGATGGCCGTTCCAAGATCAAAATGGCAAAATCGTAGGTGAAGGACTTGGCGTGGTACTTGGGGTGTTTGATGAATTGCTTGACTTTGATGCATTCGCCGTCTTTGGTGCCAGAGTTGTAATGCGAACCGATCGACACAAACCTGCGGCCTCGTCCGATGCAGTGGGCGGCGGTCAAGACGACGTTGGGGGCGATCAAACTGGATCCACACGAAGCAGCCCCTCTCTCGCTCTGTCGAAATCCGGACACGTACAAGTGCTGGCCAACGGCAGCTTCGACGCCGCCGACAATTTCTTCTTGGGCGACGACAATCGTTGAGGCAGCAAAGATAACAGACACGGCAAACAGAACGTTCATGGCAAGTGGCAAATTCAAAAATGAAAACTGAACCAAAGATCCGAGAAGCCCAAGCAAGCTCAGTAAATCATCGGACGGAATTGTTCAATGAGTGATCTGAGTATGGCCACACACGCGCCCGAGGTACGCGTAAATTATTGACCAGTATGAGCTGTACTGTTTTTTTCTCAGAATACTCTGCGATTTGAGGGAATTTGTAGGGCTGGCTTTTCATTCCCGCCAAGTGACCACCTCACCTCGTCAAACAATAGTGGAACTGTTGTTTCAATGAGGGAATTATATTCACTTGATATGTTGTTGGAGCTGGTTAATGGTTTTGCATGGATTGGACCCTGATATTGATATTACGCTGTAACGTTAAAATCGCTCAGCGGGCACTTAATGGCCTCGGCCGCGTACTTGCTGCAACAGCAGCTAGCGGACGTAACTACATGGATTGGACTTTATTATTTATCATTTATGCCCTGGAAACTACCGGTAGTGCTACAATAGTACTACGTAGTATTAGTCTTTGGGGCGAGATGACAGTACTTTACATAAATCAGTCGCAAGGCAAGGCAGTACCACAGATGTTCTGGTGCCCAGTTCCTGCATTCCGTCACCCTTCTACAGCATACCGCTGTTTCATGAGCTGTACAGTAGAGTGCTTTGACCAACAAGGATTCGTGGCGGATCGGTAGCGGTCCCGCTGCAGGTCGACGGTTGGTAGCTAGCACAGCTAACGTTATGACACACATGAACATTATGCTCTCATCAAGGTATTATGATCAAATTCATCATGTCATGTGCAGCATTCCAGCGGCTCCTGGCGGCGCCATCGGCAGTGGACTTGCTAAAATGTGCAAGGAATAAGTAAGACCCAATGAAAGCAAGTTGGACGATTTACGAAATATTTTCCAAACATCCGACTTGGATGATCGTTATAAACTTCGGTGTTTGTTGGACGAACCTGGGAAATACACTTCCAACTAAAAGTGAAAAACAGACTAGTAGTGGAAAACTGCGAAACTGAGGCGGACTCCCACACTAAAAGGATGAAAATGTGTACTAGTAGGGGATACTAGTAGACATACAGTAGTAGTGTCCATCAAACAATTGGCGAAGCGGTTCCATAACATGTGGTTGCAGAGTCGGCCCTCGCGGAGGAATGTCTTAAAAATGATACTACCTAGTAATCCAAACTCAATTAAACCATCAAACATATGGATTGTACAGATGGCTTTGCATGTGGCTTGAGGACAATTCGAGCGAATTCTAAACTTTTCCCCATTTCGGTGACACAGTGACATTTATGCACTCCGAGTACTTCCAAGTGGAGCTACTGATTTCCCCCCACATCGAAACGGGTCATATTCGATATTATTTACAAACTTATATTTTAATTTTTGAAGGGAAGTTTGAAATCCAAGCTCATCACGACCAATTGAAGTGCTCTCGTGTGTCTCATGGCTGCACAGTATCTGCAAAATGAAACAAGACTACTACTGTAGCAATTCATAATTTCTTGAAGTCCTCGGCGCTGACGTAAAGTTTGGGCTTAGTTTTCATGCACTCATTAAGGTTCCAAAGAGTCCTTTGTGTTACTAGTATCTGTTGGCAAGGTCATTCAACTATCGGCTACTGAATACGCCAATACATAGTGTAAGTCTTTTGATTATAGAATGCCCTATTCATATTAAGGAAAATGATTACGCACATACCATCGTTATAGGGTTTACCTTGGGGTAAAAAGGGATTATGTGAGATAAAACGTGGGTAGTCCGGGGTAAAAGGGTTTTAGGGTCAGGCTTTTTGGAAAACAGATGGGGAGATTTTATGAGCGGCGTTGGGGTTAGGGGTCACATTTGGTGACTTTTTTGTGTCATTAAAGCCATGGTTTGGTGATATATTTAACTGGAGTTTAGAACATTACGCAGATTGAGTGATACCTGTTTAAATGAGTAACTGGTCAATTGAGTTTGGATTATCAACGTGCTCGACCAGGGGGCGGTGAGTAATCTTCGGCTTTTACTTCGCTCAACGCTTCATACCTCGTGCTAGGACCGAGCTCCTTCGAAGTTCGTTCCTCGGATTCCCCTGAGGAGGGACGCATAAATCCTTGCGGAAATAATCGGGGATGCCGGGACCGAAACAACTACCGTATGGGTTCGAGTTCCGGAGACGACGTCACTTTTTTACTCGTACTAATATAGTAATACTAATGACACGCGTTAACAGTAAAATGGTCCAAGCCACGTCCAAATCATCTTCTCGATACATACCGTATAAAGTACACCAATGTACTAGTGTAATGTAAAAAGGGGAATCTGTTGAAATTGTATAGAGCCCGTTTTGTCACACATAATACGGTTTTTGCGCGGCATCCGGTTACAACCCTTAATGCACGCTCGTCGTACAAATTCCGATTCAGACCACAAATTCAATAACGGAAAATGCCAATCTATGGGGTATGTGCCAATTGATGCTGTACGCAATCCAGCCAATCAATGAGTTCGGAGTTTGCGCGGCAAAACCTCCATATTATGATAATGGCAACATGATGGAATGGCGCGCAGTGATAATTTGACATGCCACCCAGCAAACCAATACGGAGATACACTCCAGCAGAGCTGGAAGCTGCCGTGGTCGATGTCGTCGATGGCATGCTTGGGACCAATGCTTCCGCTCTCTACAGAATCCCATACGAGACACTCATGTACAAGGTCCGTCATCGCAAGAACGACACCGAGGTACCTATTTAGCGTCCCAGTCCAAAGACATCTCTACCAACAACATGCGAAGTCGACCTCGTCGCATGGATTGCTGTAATGCAGCAAAACGGCTTTCCAATGGATCGAGCTGGCATCATCGTGAAAGCTAACCAACTCATCCGACGCCTTAACCCAACGCGCTCGCTCACCGGTGGTTAGTACCGGCGGTTCATTGGCCGACATCCCAACCTGGTGAACCGGGTGGCCCATGTGATTTCAAATGCTCAAAATGGCGTGAATATGTCGGGAGTGCATCGACTCTATGAGTCTTTGGACATGATCATGGCGGAGCAGAAACTCAAGCTGGACCGCATGTTCAACATGGATGAGACCGCGTTCGAAACTCGCCGCAAGTCGAAGAAGGTGGTTGCCCTGAAGGGGTCTCCAAAGGTTTGGGCCAAGACGGTGGCTACAAACTTTCACCTCTCTGTTGTCGCATGTGGAAGTGCCGATAGAACTCTAATGCCGCCACTATTTTTGTTTCCGGGGGAAACACTGGAAAAAATTATGATGGGTTATTGCGATATACCAGGTGCTACTATTTCTACATCTCCTAAGGGATTTATGAATGAAGATTTGTTTTTGAATTGATTGCGATTCTTTAGTGGTGCGGTTGACAAAGAAATTAAAAGACCAATTTTACTGAGTTTTGATGGCTTGTCTTCTCATTTTTCGGCTGAGATTGTTGCTTTGTGTGATGTACTGCAAGTTATCTTGTTGTCTTTGCCATCGAATGCGACGCATTTGTTTCAACCCTTTGATATGAGTGTGTTTGGTCCATTTAAATCGGCAATTCGAAAAGCGATTTTTGATGAAATGATACTCGACGGTAACAATATTTTGAAATATATACTTCAACATAACAATTTCGTGATAGTTACTGGCGACTTGCACTCCATCTCAAAAACCACCGCTCTGCGCATCGCATCCCACGCATGGACCCGTCATGTTTTGCCTGCGAATGTTGTCAGTGGATTCAGAACATCGGGGATTTACCCCCTGTCCCTGGAGCAGATGACGCGCCGTTTCAATCTTTTTAAGCACGGAGGTACCCCGTCGACTCACGTCGAGGTCGAGTGGATCGAGCACCAAGCTACGATGCGGAGTGAGTTGCTGCTCTTGCCCTCCAAGGGAAAAAGACGGACTGGGCGAAAAAGGGTTGATGTCGGTGGACGGGTCCTTACCCTCTCGCTGCTTGCCGATGTTGGCCAGACTGTATTTGTGATCTAGATTGCCATAAGAGAGGAGTTTGGATGGTCTTATACTAGTTTGGGTTGTGCTTAGGAAAGTTGGTGCTTTGGAAAGTTGGTTGCACCGAGACTGGTCACGTCGAAAGTGAAGGTTGGTTTCAAATTCCCTCTGATTAAACATAACCTTGTATAAAAGCATGTTTACCTGTGAGACATTATACCCTAGACACAAAATTACTATGCATAGAGCCATACATACTTAAAGATAAAATTACACAGCAAAGATTGGCACACGCAACTATATAATATTTTGCATACAAAATCGAATATAGATATGCCATTTTAAGCGTGAAACACAATAATTTGGTACCCCAGAAATAGTGCGCTTTATCCTCGATATAATGCTCGTAAGTTACGGCAGCCCCGAAATGCTGAAAGCGGACCAACGATCAAGTTGGCCGTATTTCAATACGGTGACTTTCTTGTGTTCACCCAATGGGCATACCAAAACACCTCTAATAAGCCGGGTACCCACGCAGGGTATTTTTCGGCGATGAAGGATCAGTTCAAACGCGAAAGTCTAGAAGGCCCCCTCAGTTCGAAAGCGATATGAAGGACATGCTTCAAGGTATGCACAGTTCCTAAGGAGACTATTTGTATTTAGGAATGTGACGACTACATGCTGAAGCAGGTAGTATTGGGACACACTACATTCTGTAGGTGTTGCTACCTTTCCTCGGGGAGTACAAGTGATTCATCCATGCCAAGTGTGTGTTTGCGTTGTCGTTGGACGCAGGGCCATGTACAGTGAGTGACTACCAAAAGTCATCATACACTTGACAAAAAACGCGTCTTTTGTCGATGGCGATTGAAAGTGGGCTTGTGGAAATCTCAGAGATTGTACCAATCCGTTAATCCAAAAGGAGTGCAGAGCTCAGCGATTGAACAAAAGTATTATCCGGTTCAAAGAAAAAACACTTTCCAAAAGTCATCATACACGATGTCAATCAAGTCGCGAATGTAGGACACTGGTATGTTTTCCCAAATTTCTGCAATTTGC